CCAGCCCCCTCTGCTGTGGCAGGTAAAAGTCCCTGACGGGCTAAGATAAAATGTTCCCAGGCGGTAGGGTTAGGCTAGAGGGGGTCTGCCTCTGCCTGCCGCACACACAGCCGCAAACACAGCCCTGAGCTTTCCTGGGGCAGAACAATGTTCTCTAGTCGTCTTGTGTTCTCGGAGTCTTCTCCACAGGGGTCCCATCGATTTCCAGTGAATTTCACTGTAGTTACTTTGTAACTTCTGCTGGTGTTGACGCTAGTATTTTCTTTTCTTTTTTTTAAAATTTTTTTATTATGATTTTGTTTATATTACATTGAATCACATGTAACTTTACAGTGTATTACATTTCTTTTTCCAGAAGGAAAACCATGCATATCAGTCAATACAGAGACATTAAAATCCCCATCATCATCATCCAATAGCTTTTCCTTTTTCCCCCCGATTATTCTTATTATTCCAATTATTTTTGTAAGCATGCCACCACTATTTATCATTTTGCCTGTAAACAGACTTTACCCAACATGAAATACTTCTCAGACCCGTGAGGCTCGTGTTTTCTCACGCCAGGTTCTCCGTGACTTAGTCACATATGGGGAGGGCAGTTCGGCTTGAGGCCAGCCATCTCCCCACTCCAAGGGCCTGGAGGCTGATTTAGCCAGGCAGTCTTTGGTTCATTTATTTCGGTTGTCCACGTATAGTGACTTTTCCTTTGCAAATTTTTACTATTGATATTTTGTATTTCTCTTGCCTATTTGCAAGCAATTCTAGAACTGTGTTAAATAATGGTTGTCATGAACTGTATATAATAGGAATGCTTCCAGATTTCACTGCAGGACACGAGCCTGAACTTTGGTTCAACACATACACACATATACTGAATTATTTTTTTAAAGAATTATTTATTTAATTGTATTTATCATTATTGCTATTATTCAGTTTGATCAGAGAGAGTGAGAAAGCAAGCCACCAGGTCTGGGACTTGAACCGTAGTCTGCCATGTGGGATTCCAGCGCCTTAACCACCTCTCCATCTGCCAGGCTCATAGTTTATATACATTTTTTTTTAAGAATTATTTTTGTTTTGGGGACCAGCAGGTGGAGTGGTTGTTAAAGTGCTCGACACTCCCACATGGCTGACCACGGTTCAAGTCCTGGACCTTGTGTCTTGCTTTCTCACTTTCTCTCTCTCTCTCTTTCCCCTTCCCTCCCTCCCTCTGGTAAAATTAAAACATAAATGAAAGAATACATTAAAAAAAAAAGAAAAAGAATTATTTTTGTTTTATCTTTATTTATTTATTTAATTTGACCAGAGAGGGACAAAGAGTGAGAGAGAGTGAGAGAGAGAGAGAAAGTAAAAGCAAGCCACCATGTCTGGGAGTCGAACCGCTGTCAGCCATGTAGGAGTCCAGCGCCCTTAGCCACCACGCCACCTGCTGGGCCCCATAGTTTATATTTGTTATCATGTTACGGGAAGCAGGTGATTTTGAACACAGAATAACTCCCACAGGGGAGAAGCTGAGGCCACTGCTAACAGACCTGTCTGTTTGACCCTGTGAACTTGTCCATGTGGATGGCTGAGCCTGCCCCTGTGCACGCGTGTGACTGCGTGTAGTGCAGGGTGCGTCTGGTGTGGGCAGCCCACAACCCCTTGTCGGTGCTCGCCTGTGGGAGGCCTGCCCCCTGCTTGCCCCTTGGCTGCCACTCCTCCCACCTCCCCGCCTGTCCTGCCGCTCGGCGCCCTGTCAGAGGCAGGGTGCTGGCTCTCCCTCTCCTGGACCTCGCTTTCTTTCCCAGGATCAACGGTCACCCTGGGAAGTCCACGCGCCTGGCGGGCTTGTGGAAGCTTGAAGAGGTCAGTCTACCTTCAGGCCTGGCCACCCTGTCCTCAAGCCTCCCTCCTCTGTGAGCTCCCGCCTCACACAGCCCCGCCCTGACCTCCATCCCTGCCTGCAGTGTCACCTCAGTGGCTGCATGATGGACCTGTTCGTGCAGATGGCCATCATCATGGGCCTGAAGCAGACGCTCAGCAACTGCGTGGAGTACCTGACGCCGTGAGGGCCCTTCCCGCCCTGCTCCAGCCTCCCGGGGAGCATAGCCGGCAAGGCCCTGTCCCTGCCGCCCCTCTGTCCCCAGCGCCTGCTCCGGCCCCCATGCAGTCCTTGTGCCCCCAGGTGGCTGGCCTACAAATTCCGCTCGATGCCGTGCCTTGGGCACCCCCACTTGTCCCAGGACCCCGTGCTCAGGGACTGGCAGCGCAACTACCGCCTGAACCCGGTCAACACCTTCAGCCTGTTCGACGAGTTCATGGAGATGAGTGCGTGGGGCCGAGGCGGGGCGCAGGGCCCACAGCCTGGAGGGTCGCTGTGCGCAGAGTGGGCGCTGGGGCGGCCGCCGCGGGGCCGAGCTGACACCTGCCCGCCCTGCAGTGATCCAGTACGGCTTCACCACCATCTTCGTGGCCGCCTTCCCGCTGGCGCCGCTGCTCGCGCTCTTCAGCAACGTCGTGGAGATCCGCCTGGATGCCATCAAGATGGTGCAGCTGCGGCGGCGCCTGGTGCCACGCAAGGCCAATGACATCGGTCAGGGCCGACGAGCGGGCGGCTGGGTGGCATCGGCCAGCAGGAGAGGGCAGTGAGGGCTGCTGGGCAGGCTTCACCCTGTGGGCTCTCCAGCCACCCACCAGGTCACCCTGAAATAACCCTTCCGAGCAGATCAAGTGGGCGCAGTCCTGGGGAAGACACCAGGATCCGGCTGAAGGCCTTGCAGCCCCCAAGGGAAAGCCAGGAAGAGAAGCTGGGCCTCAAGGCTTGTGGGTGGAAGGGGCAGGAAATGTTAGCAGGTGGTCTTGGGCACCCAGATGGACAGGTGTCAGGGTATGAACAGAGGGACTGGGGTGCTGGGTGGGGGAGAGGGACAGAGAGGTTACGGAGCACCCAGTTTCAGGCTCAGGTTAAGGGGTCCTACCCGAGGAGGCGGAGCAGGCTGAGTTGAGGCAGAAGATGGAGGACGGGACACCTGAGCGCCTCCAGTCCCTGTGAGGGTGACACAGGGGTAGGGAGGAGAAGCTCTGCCTTTGCGGAGACTTCTTGATGAGTAACTGGGCCCCTGGGCTCTCGGCCATGGGGCGAGCGCAGTGGATCTGGGCTGGAGGGGCCTGACCACCTCACTCCGCTGCTCTGGCCCAGGAACCTGGCTGCAGGTGCTAGAGACCATTGGCGTGCTGGCGGTCATTGCCAACGGCATGGTCATCGCCTTCACTTCGGAGTTCATCCCCCGAGTGGTCTACAAGTACCGCTATGGCCCGTGCGGACGGGAGGCCAACCCTAAAGTCGAGTAAGCCTCTAGCTGTCTGGAAACCCCTGGGATGGAGTGGGCCCTACCATGACCAAGTCCTGGGAGCCCAGATTCACTCCCTGGGACACGGCTGCATGCTAAAATGCCTGGGGCCCTGGGACGGCCCTTACCCTGCCCACACCCACCCACAGACCATGTACTGGAGCCCAGGGAGGACCGGCTGGGACTGGGTCGGGCTTAAGTTCCCATATGCGGCTGTTTTCTGAGCAGGCACTACCCGAACAGCTCCCCTCCCAGAGTTAGACCCTTTGGTGTTCCACTTCTGGCACAGAGGCAGGGCAGAATCGTGTGCAGCAGCTCGGGGCCTCAGGAGGGGCACTGCACCTGCAGGCCAGGGCTCCGGGTGGCCAGCCCCAGGAATGCTCCCCTCAGCCACTGCGGGGACAGCAGTTGGTGTTGTCCCAGAGTCCCCTCGGTCTCCCGCAGTCTCCTGGGCATGGGGGTGTGAATGGAGGAGGTGGTATGGGGTGTGCCTGGGGTTAGCTCCCGGGAAGTACCGTGCGGTCCCCAGGGGCCACACCCTCCCCACACTGCGCTGTCCTTGCCAGCTGCCTCACGGGCTACGTCAACCACAGCCTGTCGGTCTTCCGCACCAAGGACTTCCAGGACCCTGTGGGGATAGCGGGCTCAGAAAACGTGACCGAGTGCAGGTTTGGAACCCTCCCGGCCCCCACGAGTGCCCTCTGAGCTCCGACCCCTGGCCTCAGGCATACCCCCACCTCAGGTACCGAGACTACCGCAACGCCGACGACGACTACAACCACTCCGAGCAGTTCTGGTTCATCCTGGCCATCCGTTTGGTGTTTGTCATCCTCTTTGAGGTGGGCCAGGACTGGGGGTGGGGGTCAGGGGCAGCTCTCCCTCCAGCCCTCCTCCCTGGCCTCAATCCCTGAGATCCCTGCTTCGCCCCGACCTTGCTGGGCTGCTCTTGGCCCTGCTCCCTGTCCCCAGCACGTGGCCCTGTGCATCAAGCTCATTGCTGCCTGGTTCGTGCCGGATGTGCCGCAGACGGTGAAGAACAGGGTTCTGGACGAGAAGTACCAGAGACTCCGAAACAAGTTGCGGTAGGCAGGGCAGAGGCTGGGCTGGGCTGGGGCAGCCTCAGGCCTGGGTTAGGGTCTGGGCCCTGATCCCCACCAACCCCACCCTGTCTCCAGCTGCAAGAGTACGGACCCAGACAGCCACCTTCTCACTGTGTGCTCACGTGGTCTTTTCTTCATGAGAGGCAGACATAGACAGAAAGAGTAAGTGAGCTCTCTCAGCCCTGCCGACCAGGAGCTGAAACCCAGGACCGGCAGCACCGCCTCCCACCCTGCTGTGGCTGTGTGCGCGTGGAGCGGGGTCTGTAGGAGGGCCCAAGCACAGGGGAGGTGCTATGGCCGTGCACGTGTGGGCGTGTGTGCATGCCAGGGCTCATGCGTGCCGCTCACAGGTGCTGTAAGTCCTGCTCCATCCCCGTTAGAGCTCGGCTGGGCATGGTCCTGACTGGGACTCTGGTGACTGTCAGCACCCATAGGACTGAGGGAGGCTTCTCACACAGGAAGTTGACCCATGTCCCCGGGGCCTCCCTCTGACCCCAGGTCCTGCCCCTCCACCATCCTGCAGGGGTGGGGGCGGGGTGCTGAGCCCACCTCTCTGGCTCGCCTGGCCCCACTCAGGCACAGACATTTCTGTAATAAAATCGAACCTATTTGTGTTGATTTCTGCAGGGGATTTCTGTCCTAAGGCCCCGTGGGAAACTGGGGCCCAGAGCGTGGAAGGTCTGGAATGCGGTAGCCTCAGGCCACTTGGCTGTCTAGTTTTCTCTGGGCTTCCCATGGAGGAGACCCTCACTGAGATCTGGGGATGACAAGGGAGGAGGCCAGGTTAGCAGGTGGGGGTCAAGACAGGCTTCCTGGAGGAAGGGGAGGAAGAGCTGGGGGAGGAGGGGCACAACCACAAGGCGCCCTTGGGGATAGTGGACTCCAGCACTTTCCGGACTTTGCGGGGCTGGTTGGGCCGGTTTGGCTTCTGCCCCCAGCCACGTAGCGGCCCGCGGCCAGCCTAGGGCTGAGGGCTGGAGCTCCAGAGCCAGCCTCGGGGTGCAAAGCAGGACACTTGGGTCCGCCCTCGCCCT